TTATGTTTAAACACTGCCCACAACAAAGCATATGGTTCTTCAGGTATAGTAAGGTCGCAAGCCATATGCTAAATGCCACTTCTGTACATCAAACTTAAGTCCTTACAAGCAATTAACCGAACATGCATCATCATCCACATTGACAGAAATCAGAAAGTCTTCACAGCCCAGAAAACTCAGACAGCAAAAGCAAGCATGAAAGGAATTCTAAGCAGGAGACAAGTGACAGAGTTAATGTCCCTGCCTTTCTGGAAGAATTCAGAAAGCGTGATATTAACACAGCCTCTGTTATCCACCAAACCTACAGCAAAAATGCATCACCTTTTCCACTAAAGAAGTAGCCTGCTACCACTCTACAGAGTTCACCTTCAGTCATGGGGAAAAGGAAGGACACTGCTGGACCTCAGCCTGAGATCTCAAAAGGGAGACTTGCTTTTGGCTGCCTGCTGGAGCATCTAACAATGGTGTGGCTACAGGCGAGGGCATTAGCACACAGTGAGCCTCATTCTTCCACCTCAAAATCCAGAAAGGAACAGGGTTCCCTCTACTCTCATATCAATCTAAATGAAAAACAGTTACTTTCAACATCTGATTATAGCCCAAACAGTGTTTCTAAGATGGGAAAGAGCTTAAGAACTAGAAACAAGGATTTCCAACATTCTGCCCCCCTAGTATAACAACATCAAAGTCGTTCCCCTTTATCTTTCCTCAAGTCTCAGATGGAGTCATTCACACACCTTTATCTAAGAGGAGGAGAAGATATTAGTATTTTCATATTCCTTAAAAAATATTTCCCAAACCCAGCAAACGTAAAGAAAATAGTCAACCCTGAAAATACGCCCAGGGAAAATGCAAGCATTTGAGTAAGGTTCTTGTGTTTAATAAGGTAAGTGAATTCACTTCATTTCTATCATTTCCAACAATAAACATACACCAGATCAACACCCGTACCTTCTTTAAGCAACATCCACCTACCAGAAATGAGCACACTACTTTTATCCTGCTACAAACTACAGAGGTGGCATTCTTCTGAAGCCAATGAATTACAGATTGCTTTGTAACATCAGTGTAGTAAGACTGCCAGTGAACTATGCTTTTAGAAAGAATAACCACCAGCCATTTCTCTGCCATTAAAATAATATAAGTTCTGCCTTTTACAGCCCTGTTGTTTGTACATCCATTTAATGAGCTGCTGCAGTAGTAATATTTTTGTTGTTACTAAAGTGCATCTTCTTGGGTTTACGGTCCTGTTCTCAGCTATAAAGCATTCTACTTCAATCAAATTATGACAAAGATGCAAGACACTGAATATTTCACGTGTGGACAGAAACGTATTCACTGTCATAGAAAAAAGGAAAGTTTTGTTTTACATCAAGCTGCTTCTAAGGAGTCAGATTTTTCTCATTTGCACAAAAAAATTTGTTGGTGCTCAAAGACTATAATGTCCAGCTTTTCAATAGTAATGGTCAAGTAATGTTCAGAAAACTGTCCTTTTAGCTAAAAGTAGGGAAGTCTCATTAGACAAGGTAATCTGGACCACAGATCTTAGTTACTGACCCCAATGACTGACTTCATGCAAGCATTCACTTCTACAAATAGTTTTCCAGTTGCAATGTTTAGGTGTCTGGGGCCACAAAGGCATGCAGGTGGCTGCAGAATCAGACCCTGAGCCTGTTATATGCTATGTGCACTCACTGAGCACTCTGTACAGTAGCACTCATTTTTGAAGTACGAAAAAACTATGCTGTCTTCAGCATAGTATGAAAAAGTAACATGTACACAACCATCACATTAGATCTGCCAAAACGAAGACGTCCAAGAAAATATAACAGTGGACAGGAAAACACAAGCTTCAGAATGGTCTTACCAAGTTAAATTCACCTTCTAAACTGTTCCCCTTAACTTTTTATGAGATTGATTTTAGAGCAGTAATTTTTACTTATTCCATCAAAACATATGTAGGTAACTGGACAGGCAAACACAGCTCAATCTTGTTACCTCTTTGGCACTACAACCAATTGGAAATATAATTAAGAGTCACCATTGTGTCTCAAAGCCACGCCAAAACCAAGTTTGGTTAATGCAGAAAATATTGTTCATTTCAAAAATGCAAGCTTTCTGTAATTTGATAGGCATTTGGTTCATGCATATGAATTTAGACCATGCTGAGAAGTGAGCTGCATACAGTTCTGAAAATTAAAAAGTTAATGGTGAACACAATCTTGAAAGTGATAGCCGTGTATTTTCCTCTTTTCAATAACACTATAAAATAAGAAAAGATGACATGCTGTGTTAACATAGTTAAACTCAGCAATTCATATTTGGCTACGATTAGGCTTGAAGACACACTGAGGTCTTCCAAAACTATCACCATGACATGATGCAAAGATGATGGTATCACCACATGACAAGGAACAAAAAGCAGCAGCTGTCTACCTCTGCAGCAAGTACTGTGCTGACTGAGGTCAGCACCAATGCGTGAAATGGAGATACTGTACTTCTGTACAAACTTTAAAAAAATAAATCCTCATGACAGAAAACTCTGCCCTGCAAGGCTGATCCTTTGCCTTAGCTAAGCAATTTCACACAGCAGGATATTAGACCCTGCTTTTTGCAAACACAACTAGTCCTGCAAACCAACTCTGTCTGGGCCCAACCAATGAATTAACCATATGTTTACAAGAAATACTAACCGCCACAGACAGAATTTCCTTCTGCTGAAGGAGATTAAAGCATAATCTCTTTCCAGTAGATGGCATATTGATAGCACTGTATCATTTTTTAAACCTCCATCATGTGCTGCTGAAAAATTACTCTAAGTTCTACACAGCCAGTTAAAAATCAAGTGACTGAAAGCAACTGCTGAGCAGAGTCCAGGACTTTCATAAATCTCCAACTCTCCTTTTTAACAGGACAACCAATCTAGTATCAAAAGCAAAACTTCACTTTGCAACACATACTGTACTTGGGTGGAATTTTCACAGAAATTTCTCTCACCTTGATCATTTTAATCCCTCAATTACATAAGAACATAAATCATCATGTGCCACAAAAATTACGCTATTATGAAAGTATATCCAGTCCTCAGAATCATACTGTTCATAATTAGTATTCACATGCCAACTTCAACTTCTTCATATTCTTTCCACCTATTTTTTGAAAGGTGAGGAGGGACTTGAATTTTTTTTTTTTACAATTACCAAGAATGAGCTACAGTTCATTTTTAATACAGGTAATATTTTCTCAAGAAGATGAGGACCTGCTTTCAGGGCTTTACACTAGATGCCTTGTCCCAGTTTAGTCCCCGAATGTTCAAGTAGTTTGTAAGACACTTCATAAAAATAATAAAATATGAAAAATTAGAATAGTTTTCCACATCTCTTTTCACTACAGTTTAGTCTGCACAAGCTCATGCAAGATACAAACCTGCATCTGCAAAAGCTGACTTGGTGCTTCCTCCTCTTTTTAACTCTGGCATAATTTAGCAAAGAATGTATCACTCTTAAATGAGTGTAAAATTATTAATCCAAATTGACGACAAATTTCACACTTGACTGCTGGTGAATGTTTCCTTAGACTGCTTATTAAATCAGAAGGGATAATTATTGAATCACAGTATATTACAGTTTTTCTCCAATTGTTATATTTCAAAGAGCATCAGAGTGGTTCACATGGACTAGCAGTGTAGAGTCCCAAAATCAGAAATGTTACCAAAAAAAAGTACCCCTCTCTTGCCCATAACAACCTCCTCCAAAGGAGGGAAGTAATTGAAGCATTTTGATATTCCCGATTTCTCCCTGCATTCAGGCCATTTCCCACCCAGATATTTTCATAATTATTTGCCTGTGTTTGAGTACGCATAGAGATATGCTCCCGCTGTACCTGAACTTAGCGTACTTAGCAGGCACAATCAGTGGTTTGTTTTTTTTTTAAAGTCTCAGTGAACAATTAAAGCTTAAAACATGCAGTACTTCTGCAAAAAGCTGCTTTGATGCTGATTTTACAGGAAAAGACCAAAAATAATGGAAAAGGCACATTTCTCTGATAAATGTATGGGCATGTATCCTCTGATAACTTGCTTTATGGACTTAGTAAAGTACCCTATAAACTTCTAACACAGCAGAGAAATACCACAGTCAAAATTTGGGCTTGATTTTCTGATAAGGAATTGGAAGTTAAGAAGCCTGAAGTGAGAGCAGTGTCATTAGAACAGATCTGCTCTGTACCCAGCATTAACTTTCCATCTGTGTACATCAAGACAACAGGACAGAGCATCTCAGCCTTATCTTCTCTTTGCTGAACATGTTATGTCCACAGGATGGAGAATATACTGTCCTATCTCTGAGGAACTGAACAGTACACATTATCTTGTCAGAACACTGCATGGTCAGAACAGGTTTTATTTTTAAGCTGCAATAGATTTTGTTCATATTTTCTCAGTGATTTATACTTGCACAGAAAGGAACGCTTCTAGATTGCAGCAACTTTTTAACACATTTCCTGGCGTTGAAGTAACACTGCAACATCTCACCTGCATTTCACAGCAAAAAAAGGTAAGCCCTGGGTCTATGTTCAGATAGAGGAATCTAAACCGAGGTGAGACTGTTCAAGCATGTGTTTTTTGCACTCTATAGGGGAAAATGTTAGCGTGTTGCCAATTTCAGCTGTTGGGCTTCCTTATTTCCAATGGAACAGTCTATCCGTTCTCACTGCTGTATACATAAAGCTTATATTTGTTACCATCTTGTTACATCACGCAATCTGCGGGTCAACTTATACAGGAGCAGCTCTCTTACATCATTAAAAAGAGCTTAGAAATACCAGCAGAACAGTCAGTATCTTTCAGAGGATCAGGAGGGAGAGAGATAAGAATCAGAGAAGATAACCTGTTCTAAACTTACCACCCCAGTGAAAGCTGACATCTGTATTATATCTCTGGAGAGCACCAAATCTAAAAACAGCAAAGGCGAACTCTGAGCAAAATAGCTCTCGGTACTCACCTAGTGCTGAAGACCAGTGCAGGAAAGAGGGGCAGCAAGTAACAAGCCGAGATGAATTTCATACTGGAGCGGCTCCGTTTTGTTCCGCTCCTCA